TTTCAATAATTGACATCGAATCAAGAATCTGTTCACCTAGGTTGATTTCCATGAAGGACAGCTGATTACAGTTGCAACACAAAACAGAACCTGGAGAAAATATTATTTGGAAATAACAGGCAAAAAACCAAAAACAAAGCAATTTCTCAGCAGTGTAAGAATTATAAGGTAGTCTCCCACAAAATCTTCTGATAAGGTATTCTTGTGTAGAAAACGGCAAAATACGAGTAATTTCAATTCAACCACTTGAAAAAAAACTTAAATTCGATACTTTTCAATGTTGTTTGGAGTTTGGCATGATCTACGTTTTCCAAGGAAAAGATTCGTTTTTTAGATGCAGTCAACTGCAAAATTTTCAGCACCTTTTCATTGGAACCTGATAAAACTCCCGCCATGATGGATGCTGCAGAAGTTTGTCATAATCCAATGCTTTCCGATGTGCGAATCCAAGTCGGCAGAACATGGAAACCGCACGTTGTGCCATTTCAATATCAATTTGCAACAAAGTTGCCAACTGTCGACAAGGACATCATTAGTACCACATAATCAAAGTGGGACGGAATGTGGAATTCATTGTAATGAAAATCGCAATTTCCCTTACAAATACATAATAAATTACTTAATTTGTTCCAGATTAAATTCAATACAATCATAGGGAATAAAACCTCTTCACTATTCCTAGATTTCCGCACGGAATTCTGAATTTAAAATTTATTAGAATTGGGTTTAGAAGTAACCCTGACAAGCTTTTCTCCTCAATTTCAATTTCACAAATTTCAAAGAAAAGAATGGGCAAAACAATACTCTTCTCAATTGAAAAAAAATGGTCTTGGACAAAAACTTTCTGAAATTTGAAAAAGTTTTGGCCAGAAAATGCATCCTATGAATTTATTTTGTTGCGTGAGTCCCTTTAGTTTAAATCCCACAAAAAAATTCGCAATTCAAAATTTAAAAGAAAGGATTTTTTTCAATGATATTCTTGAAAACTTCGGAAACGCGAAATTTTTTTTACGGATCTTTTGCAAAGCGATTTGCATCGTCATCGACAAGTGAAAATAGAAATGTCATGCCCTACAAGACGTATTTTTGAAATTAAATGGAAAACTCAGTTAAATCTGCATCCTGACACTGAGTCAAGTACCTCTTGGACGGACGTTGTGTCATCAAGTGACACGAACACCTTGTAAAGCAAAGTTTCCAAATAGTCTCCCATCAGCCTGTTCATCACAAAACCTTCCAACGGTGGCACTGACACGCAGTCAGTTTTCTCTATGGGCACGTCGAGGTAGATCAAACCTTTTCTGTGAACATTCAACCATCCTTAATCCAAAGTTCCAACACATAAAAACAAAAATGCGTCATCGCAACCGGGAATAAAAATTCCAACAGACAGGAATTCCACAATGTCATCAAAAAAATCGAAATTGTTTCACGCACACTAACTTTGAAAGAAAAATAAAATACTTACCGATACAAGGAATGTATGCAGTGATAGTCGAATGCACCGGCACTGTCAGCCCCGCTTGAATCGATCAGCTTATCAATAAGATCCCGCTCAGCAGTCGTCACAGACTAAAAATTTAAAAAAAACACCACAGATCTTCAATCCGAAAATGAAGTTCATAAATGATCCGTTTCATGAAAAGTAGTTCAACAATAAACACGCTTCGTCAGAAGACCAAAATTATAAAAAGCAGCGATCTTCAGATTTCACCCAATTATATCAACGGGGTTTGACTGCAATTTTACGCAAATGCTTTTTCAAAATTAAATAAAAATCGGGAGCTTTCATCTCAAGGTGACACGATAATACGTCATTATCGAGCGGATCTTCTCCTACCTTCATGTCGTCATCGGTGATGCAACCGATTTGCGGATGCCACCAGGGTTCGATCGGCACATCCACCGGTTTACTCGGCAAGTGCCCACGAACCGACGTTTTCATCCGGTTCCAAAAATACTTCC